TACACGTACTTGCGCATCCTCGGCTCGCGGCTTTATTCCCCACCGAACTCTCCGAGAATCGCAATAAAACCGAGAACCGTAATAAATCACCTCCGCGTCGCTTGGAAGCTTGGCGCCACTGCGCATGACCACCGGCCTTGACGGGCCCGGAGTTGCGATGCGTTCATCGGCCGCTTGGGCTCCTTCTCATGCGTCTTCGCGCGTCTGCTGCGAGCGCCACTCCGGAGTCGAACGACCCTCCCACAGCTCTTCTTTCGCGGTATCCTGATTTAGTCTTCGCCGCTACGGAGGCGTCTAACAATCTCAACGGTCCTCCTATCAGCTTCGCATGTTCAGCTCCACACCGTTGCGCGTGACAAGCTTCTCTCCAGCGTTGCGTTGTTCTTTCGCTACGTCGTCCAGTGCGGGCGGTGACGGCGCTCGGGCTGCACGACATCCGGCACCGCACCGCGCCAGTGTACGCGCTCCCCTGCCAGCTTACCTCGGCAGAAACTCGAAGGAAGCTCTGCGCGTGCCGAGAAACAAACAATTCTGCGTCATTGTCTTCAAATGCCTGCGATCCCATTCGACGAGAAACGCGAGGCCTACGACTTCCCCGCCTGCAGGAGCCTCCTGCGTTTGCTTCGCGCATCATTCATAGGCTGCCGCAAGTAGCGAACGGTCTATCTACGGAGTTGGTTGATGGTTGGCAACGTTGCGATACATCGTGTCATACGTTTGCATGTTGTGCTCTCACGATAGCTGAGTGGTCTGCACTAAACATACGATATCTCCACAGGCAATGGTGTGTGGAGATTACAGAGGCGTTGTTGACTGTATGACGAGTGATCCGTACCAGCAGTTAGCCATTCGGTCAGCAGTATACTCCATGACTCACCAATGTACAATCTAAGCATACGGACATTGACATCTGTATTGAGGTCGACAACAGCGGTAAAGCATGAAACGTCACCGAAGTCTCCTGATTCTCGTATAGAAGTCCCAAAACGTCTCCGATAGTATACCGAACGTTTATCGCGCCCGGTCAAGGATTGAGCGAAAGCAGTGAAACTGATCTTGCGGGGCTAGTGAAGGAGCTCCTAGGACGCCGCTTGCAATCATACTCTGACGCAGGTTAGCTATAGCACGAACACATGAAGGACTTCCCCACGTGCAAGCTGTGTCTGTACCGCGTAATGGTAGATATGGAAGTCGATTAAAGTCTATCATGAAACATTCCAGCATATCGAGCCAGCGGACTTCAAGTTATCGGCCGGGCGAACACCAAGCTCTGTCATCTCCTCAGCTTATGGATTCTACTGAGAGCGGTCACCAAGAATACTTACTGCATGACAGAGGAACTCTCATGAACAACGCCAGTCCAGGCTCCAGCGCTCCAGCAGGCGCAACAACAATGGGTGCGGTGGTTTCAACGCGCAAGGGTGCTCGTACGCAGCTGTATCACTGACAGGTCATCCTCTCACGCCCTATGGCAATCTACCTATGTCCCTAAGCCCATTCTAGCAGTCGCTACAGCCTTGATTAACCATATAATGCCTTAAGATCCAATGCTTTCAACTTCCCTGTTGGCTTAGCTGGCTATAGCGTCCGACTGTTAGGCTTACGTAAGCGCTTCATCGGAAGGTCGACAGTTCGATCCTGTCACGGGGAGTTCCTTTTACCCTTTTATCCTGGGTCGGTGGGATATTTTTTCCCATTGCGGTTTGACTTTTGTGTCGAGAAGCAGGTCATGCCGGTTAAATCCGGCGGCTTCGCAGTGTAGACCCGGTCGGAGTGCGAAGTAGCCACTGACTAGAAGCCACAGGAACT